AGATCTAAAGAAAAACCTTATTGAAACAACCTCACTGTATGTAACAGTTCATATAGTGAAATGTATAAAAAATGACCAATCTGTATTTATTAGTCATAATGCCAGTTTCCATGAACTTGGTTTATTGTGAAATTCTGTTTTTTAAAAAATTTGAAGGCAGTCAGTGTACCACTTAATATTAAAGGGTGACTATGTTATATCCTGTAATACCCTGTTTAGGGGTACCTAAAACAGTCCTCTTTTTTGTTGAAAAGTTGGGATCTCATTATTGAGTCACAGTGACTTTTTAGAAAATGTTTGATTCATATATGTTTAACCTTAGGTGTGCATGCATTTAATAAATACATAATAACCCATGTCAAGAACTTCCTAAGAAACTCTTATGTACTGTGTATACCATAGTCACGTAGAAGGACCAATAGAACTTTATCATCGTACTTTAATAATAGATGCATTTAATCAGTTCAGGAGGTATATTACATCAGTTGTAATAGCACAGGGTCATGAATCTGAGAAGAAAAGGCCGTGTTTATGAAGGGAGGGGAGCTACAGGGTGAGTGAAGGGAAGAATTTTATTTAGTGCCATTCTTGGTTGGGAAAGGAGAAATAACATTTGTTATGCACCTAATCTGTTCCAGGTTTATATTTAACATTATCTCTTTTAGTTTTCACTACATCCCAAGTGGCTAGGTAGGTATTATTCCTATTTTTCAGACGAGACAGAAAGTTTAAGAGCCTCGTCCATGGTCACTTGGTTGTTACAAAGACGAACTTGTGTTCGAAGCCAGGTCTACCTCTCACATCCAGGCACTTTCAGAGCTCCACGCAGCCTCCTGTTACTATAGTTGTTTCTATCATAGTCTGCTATTTCTTGATTTCTATTTTTATAATTCTAATAGAAAAGTCATACAAAACATAATATAGAAGGTCAGAGTCAGAAAAACAGGAACTCATGTCTGTTGCCCTCATAAACTTGCTTTATAAACTTTTATTTACATTTTATTCTGGAAAAGGTTAGAGAGAAAGCCCAAGAATATCTTTTGGCACATTCCAATCTATGTAGGATATTTGGTGACTTGAGAATATGCTGAAAGT